TTAAAAGAAGGTTAATAACCTATAAAAGGGAAAAGAAAGAGAAGTATAGGCCTAGCCTATATAAGCGTAGAGGCCGCTTATATATAGACTTAGCCTAGACCCTAGTCTAAGCTTATATAGGGCAAAAGCCCTTATATTATACCCCTACCTAGCTTTTAAAGAGGCGCGCCTATAAATAATACTTAATACCGCGCTTAAGGGGACGGAACCCTTACGCGGACTACGTATACTTAGTCGCGGAAAAAATATTAGTAAATAACGTATAATACCCTCCTAAGCGAGCTTCTCGGATAGACTATATTATTAATAGGGGCCGCGCCCTAGGAGTCGGGCTTTAGCACTTATAGCTAGGGAGTAGAAGTAAGTAGAACGGCGCGTAGCTAGCTTTAGTAAGCTTATAGTATCCCGCCCCCCCTATATCGGCGCACGGTAGTAGCTCTTAGTACCGCAACGTAAGGGATAGTACTCCGGTATATAAAGCTCCGCTCCCTCCTATATAGGGCTATACGGGCACTCCCTTTTACTATAGTTATATTATATTAGCGGCCTTCTTATATCTTAGCCGCCCTTTTAGTTACTATAGGCATACGTCCCGTTTATATAGTAGCTACTACTATACGCGAGGGAACGCCGACGAAGCCTATAGAGGCGTTACTAAGATTACTCGTCGCTAGAGTCGCTATCGTTAAACTTAACCTCCTTTCCGTCCTAGCGCATACGCCCCTCTACTACTTAGAGTGCGTTTACCCGCGCCTCCTAGCGTAGGTACTTTAAAAACTAGTAGGATTTACTACTATAGCCTATATAGCGACCCTCCTATTACTACCTCTTTTTATCCTTAGTCCTTAAGGCAGAGATAGAGATATCTATAATATTACTAGCGTTATCCTCTTTTTATACTATAGAAGAAGATAAAAAAAGAAACTTATTACCTTTATAGGTATAGGGATAGGCTCGTATAAAGATAGTTAAATTAGGCGCGGATATCCCTTATTATAGCGCTATTAGTATAGAGCTTCGCTTTTATATAAAGTAGCTATAGCTTAAGCTCTATAAAGGAGCCGTCGAACTTACTAAGGTATAGTAGTACCGCTCTTAGTCGTACGGAGCCCTATTATTATAAGAGGCTCTTAATTGCCTAGGCGAACTAAGTATTATATTTACCTTAATTTTACGACTATAAGAGTACGGATATTTCGCGTGTATATATACTAGCGCGGGCGGTTTAACTAAACTAGGTAATTAAACGTCGGCTTTAAAGGCAGCTAGAAAAATAGCTATTTTATATATAGGGATATAGAGAGGGTAAAATAAAGGGTAGATTATACTATTATAGAGTAGGTAGAGGTATAGGCTTAGGTGCGGTCTATTAAAAGAAGGTTAATAATCTATAAAGGGGAAAAGGAAGAGAAGTATAGGCCTAGCCTATATAAGCGCGGAGGCCGCTTATATATAGAGTTAGCCTAGACCCTAGTCTAGGCCTATATAGGGCAAAAGCCCTTATAACTAAGGATCGCTATAACTATAGGCCTTCCCTTAATCCCTTTATATATAATATTTATCGCTAGCGGACTAATATATAGTAAGCTCTTAAGCGGAACCTCTCTTAATATAAAGCACTACTAGCTCGAGAGATATTAACTATCTTATATAAAGCTAAACCTTTAATAGCGTTTTTTTATATTAAAGATATCTATAACGACCGCTAAAACATCTATTTTAAAGCTCTTAGTAGTATAACGGTAATATAAGCGTTTTTACGGTATCTTTAGGTAAGCGATCTTCCCTATTACGTTAAATTCGACCTATATAATAAAAATAAGATTTAAGGCGTATTATAGACCTATCTATAGTATTAAAAGATATAGAAACATTTCCCTAAGGTTCTTAGCCTCGATAATATATATAAAACTAACTGCTTTAGTCTCTTTCTTTTCTAGGTTACTAGAGTTACTAACTAAAAGTCCTTAGCTAACTTCGCCTTTAGCCTTATTAACTTAGAGAAAGAAAAGGGATACTAGTAGCTATATAAGTCCCTTAACGCTCTTTATATATAGGTTAGGGTATAAGAGCCCTCTATAGTTATTATAGATAAAGAAGCTACCCTTAAAAACGCCCTCCTTTATATTTTCCCCTTAACGTAATAATAACTCTATATATTCTATATTAATAGTAATATTTAAGCTCGAATCTAGTCCTACTAGAAAGACCTAGTAGATCCTAATAGCCCTAAAAACTCTACTAATATAGAGGTCCCTTAGGAAGTAAAAGCTATCCTCGCTTAAGAGGCTACTAAATAAGGAGCCGCTAACGCCGCCGCCGCTACTATATTTAGTCTAGACGATAGGGAAGTCGAATTTAGCCGTAAAGGAATATTCCTAGCTTAAAAGCGCGTTATTTACTCGAAAACTAAAGCGGATTTCTATAAGGCGTAGCGGTAGCTTAATAAGACCTTTAGTTAATACTAAGGGTATATTATAATATATATCTTAAACGAATATATACTATAGCGTAAGTAGTAGGCAGGCTGCTTTATTAGTTAATATCGTAACTTTAGGCAGCGGGTAAATAGCCTAGTTACGACTCTCGCGAAGAGAGATACGAGAAGTGCATAAAAATGCACGAAGGTAAAATTAAAAGTAAGGGGTCGGATAGGCAGGGCAGAGAGATTTAATTCTTACGGGAGCAGCAATTAAGGCAGGGGAGTAATTATTATATTGCCTTAATTATCCTTCTTTCCTCTATCTAACGCCCCTCTTTATACCCGTTTAGCATCTTAATTAATAAAGAAGATCCTACTTAAAGAAGCCACTAATGTCCTTTCGACTACCGAGCTTTTTGCCGGTTTTTCCCCTCCTTTCTAGCCGTTGCCGGCCTATCCGTCTTATCTCTCGCCACCTCTATAGGAAGCCATCGCCACTTCTGCTTCCCCTTATGCCCCTACCCTCCTTTCTACACCTCTTTTTAGCTCCTTCTTCCTTCTTCTACACCGGGTGTTTTCAGCTTCCTTGGTCCCTCGTGCCAAGGGATATCTCCGAGAACTGCGAAATCAGGCCACGCTTCGCGACAACGACCACCTATAAGGATATAAAGTCTTATTTAGTTATAGGTACCTCTAACCTCTTATATCTTTACGATGCCCTTATATAGATAATAAAGAATAAAGAGATAATATATATATAAACGGCTGCCTAGTAAGAGATATAATAAAGGCGTTAGTTGCTTAGGCAGACTTAGCTTGGGGATCTTAGTATAAAAATTACCTACGAAGCAGTTAACCTACTTACTATATAATATAGGCTTGCCCTCGCCGCGATACCTTTACTAACGCGGGAGCTATAGCTATTACGGCCTTATAGCGGGCGATTTATATACTAACTTAGGCTGCCTTATGCGTATACGATCCTTTAACGCCTTTAAGCTAGGTTAACGCCTAAAAAGTATAATATTCTCTCGCGATAGTAGCTTAAGAAGCCGTTAGTAAAGAAACCGCCTCCTTTTTAGGTAAATTTAATACTAATTACTACTATTAGGACCTCGAGGAGCCATTGCTACGAATCAGCGACCCCGACGTTATTACTATTACACGCGGCCGGCCCCGTAATAATAAGCTACCTATACCAAGCTCCCTCATAGCGAGGGTATTACAGACAGCATCATAGACGGCATCATAGACGGCATTATAGACGGCATCACAGTCACAGCCGGCTATAAGGGCATCCCAGCTACCTAATTCGAGTCAGGCTAGCTCAACGCGGCTCAACGCAAGCGTTCGAAGGCGCCGGGGGCGCGACGAGATTAATGAACTTAGCTATAGCCCGCGGTCTCTCGCAGCGTCACAACAAGGATCATCAGCTCGAGGAAATATAAGGGGAAGGGGATCAAGAGGAGGACGCGGCAGGAGGGGCGCGCCGCCGGCTTCGTCAGTGCAGCCGGCTTTGTCAGGGCAGCCGGCTTCGTCAGGCGTTGGAGGGATCGTTGAGTGGGATGCAATTGAGGCGGCGACGCCGCCGCCGCCTATATAGCCGTAAGGGCCAAGGAGGAGCCGGGTCAATTGACGGGCCGATTGTTGCAACTTCGAGCTTAAGGCCCGGAAATGCGTTATTTGAGCGAATTAAGAGGCATGCGTTATATGGCCTTTATTGCCTCTTATATGTGTGCGGGTTGTGTGTGTGTGTGCGGGCGGGCGTAGGCGCGGGTGCGGGCATTTAGGCGGTACGGGTACTTGCCAGGCGCGCGCGGTATAAATAGGCGGGGCGGGCTGGCTTTGGTACGTATCTTAAAAATGGGCCGAGTGTGCAAACAGCAATATGCTATTGTGTAAATAGCAATACTCATACGAATAGCGATGTGTCTTTGTACAAATAGTAATACTCATCTATAATTACTGTCCGTGCCCCTTATTGTGTGATAGGGTACGTGGCCGATATTTGATCAGGTAATTAGAAGCTATCTAGGAAAAGGTGATAATGGCGCCGCTCCACGGGAACGAGTTTAGGCACCACTGCCGCCTGTCCTCGTCTCGCCCAACGGTCGGCAGCCCCTTTTGGTGAGTGTATAAAGTATGGGCGGCAAGACGAGAGAGCGGATGTCTAGGCTACGAAGCCACAAAAGATACTACAGGACGGTGCCGCATTGGAAGGGTCTAAACCAAGCATTGTAGCTTCCCTGGTGCCCTTATAATGCACGCAAAGACGGCTGGTGAATGACCCAATGGCAAATCGATGAGATGAGACTCCCAGAGGTCAAGAACCACGAGGCGAGTCATTGCTTCTTCGAAGTTCCAACACACTGACAGCACCCGCGGCACGTAGAATGGCGAGGGGTCAAGTTTAAAGTCGAGCAGTCACAGCGAATCGCGAGCAAGGGCGATGGATGAGAAAAGCCAGCAAGCACAAGCCATTGTGTCTCTTGCATGTAATCCGTTCTATAGAAAACCCGCTGCTTCCTTATACCAGGGGCCGACGTTTCCCGAGCCATTTCTATGCTGAAGCAATCCGTCACGATTTGCACGAGAGGTCGACAGGCTCCTTCCCGGTGGCGAGAGAGGTTCTCGTATTGGCGCCGATACCCTGATTCTGACTTGTGATCGAATTGGTCTTCTCAGCCTTAACATCTTCTACCGCTGTCTTGACCTTTTTGGGCAACTGCATTTCAATGACAACTTGTAGGACAAGCTCGGTGGATTCAAGGCTGGAGACCCCGCCATTTTCATCGGCCTTGTTGCTGGAGACCCCTTCATTCGCAGGCTGTTCCCCGCTATCGAGGCCTGTGGCCCCGTCACCGGACAGGTTTTCGGAGTACTTATCATTTTTATCGGGTTTGTCTTCGGAAGCCATAACATTCTTGGGCTTGCCGCCGACGTTGGGGGCGTTGCGGCTGCCGGGGTCTCGGGCATTCAGTATTTTGTCAATGCAAACTTGGACGAAAACTGTGATGGTTTTTTCGGTCTTGGAACTATTGTCAAGCCCATTGTCTGACTTGTCAGTCTGGCCTGGAATGCCCGACTGGCTCGATTTCTCCACCTCGGTCTTGGCTGGGTTGCCTGACTGGCTCGATTTCTCCACCTCGGTCTTGGCTGGGTTGCCCGACTGGCTCGATTTCTCCACCTCGGTTTTGTCTGGGTTGCCCGACTCGCCCTGCTTAGCGGAGCCAATGGCCAAGACACCCGCCTTGATGGAGATGGCGGCGTTGATGTCGATACCCTTGAGGCGCATCTCGAAGCCGGCGATAATCAGCTGCTGACTCAGCTGATTTTTGCAGTTCGCGAAGACGGCTTGGCGGACTTCCATGCTGACAAAGATAGAGCTGTCGCTGTGGGGATCCGGGGCAGGGACGTTCGTATTGGTTACACCGTCGCTGCCGTCGAGACCAGTTGTCTGGGCGGGGCCGGAGCTCTGCGTGGAGCTCTTGGTGCTCTGCGTGGAGCTTCCAATGCTCTGCGTGGAGCTCCCAATACTCTGCTTGGAGCTCTCAATGCTCTGCTTGGAGTTCGAAGTGCTGTCCGCATCCCTTTTCTTGACGGCAATTGCTATGAAGGCCCTCAAGCTCGCTTCAATCTTTTCGGGAGACTCCCGACCCAGCGCCATGGAGACGCTGATTTCGACCAAGGCCGCCACAGCTTGAGTCTTTGCTTTGCAAAAGACTCCGACCATGAGTTCGACGGTGACCTGAACATTGGAGGCTGTAGTGCCGGCTCCTTTGCCTTGGTCTGCTTCCGCTACGCTGGAGGAGACTTTCGCAATGATAACGATGGCTGCGTCGATCGATATCACCTTCTCGCCGGCACTTTGGTTATCCTTGTCTTGCGCGACCGTCGAGATCTGGTCGTCACTTGGGTTATACGGGTTCTTGTTATCCTCGCCCATCTTACGCTTCTCATTCCGCTTTGCCACGGGGGGTCGGGCTTCCCTACTGGAGTTTTTGGGGGTGTTTGCAACCTGATTTATCGTTTTCATAGCGATGTCTTTTGGCTCTGGATCTAGTTTCTGGAGTGCTGCTTTGAGCTCTTCTTCTGAAGCGGCCTGGATCGGGAAGTTCTCGATCCCCTCTGTTGCCGCGATGCTCGATGACGTGCTGGAAGCACCGACTACCACCGTAGAACGGGCGGCATCGTCGGCTTGGGAGAGCGTTGGAGTCGCGCTTTTCGGAGCTACCTGAGGTAGGCCTGAGGCTAGAGCCACGATCGACGCAAGCAAGAGTGTGGACTTCATGATATCGGAAAGCTCAAGCAACCTATAGAGAAGGAGTGTAATGGTCGAGGTGTGACCTTCGTGGGGAGAAAAGAGTGAAAAGTTATGTAAATGAAAGTGACTGTTGCATGAGACTGGAGATGGGGATCTCTGCAGATTCTAGATTCACCAGCTTCGCAGGACAGCAGCTGGCCCATTATATAGGAGAGGTCGTGGCTGTCATGCTGTCAAAGATTGGGCATCGAGTCAAGGCCGTCCGCCACAGCCAGGAACTGCATTGCATCATGGAATCAGGTCTATCCCCGCTTGCCGGGGCCGACCGAGGGCGATGGACCTTGATTGACGATGGAGATGGCTAGTCCTGCTACTTTTACATTTTGCGTTGGATTCCACCCTTAAACTAGAACGACTGACTTGTCGTGCAAGCGGTTTCATGTCGCATATCAAGCCTGCCTAGGATGATTATTCATGAAGTGGCTATGCTACTCGCAACGCCGCTGTTGCCTGCTAGGCAACCGCTACTGCGTAATCACGCGACGGACCTTTTCAATTGTGTATAAAGAGCTGCACAACTCCGTGCGTTCGTTCACTCACTTCTTGTTCTTTAGATAATTCTCATCAATTGCCTGATGCCATCGCATCTCTGACCCGTGTGGTGCTAAATGCCTGACATTTCACCTAGCACGTGGAGAACTGGCAATGCATGTCCCTGCTATAGAATAAGCCGAGCTAGCCAAGCCAAGCCAAGTCCATAAGGAGGGGCTTAAGCCTGGCAGGGACGGCTTGGCTAAACACTGAGCATAAGCAGTATGACTAGCAGCACCTAAATGTGGCGGCGATTCATTCGATCATGCCTACTTGTCAGATTCGGCGAGTCCCGGTCATTTCGGGCCCAGAAGTGCTTATATTAACAGTTAGATCAGCGCCGTCAATGACTCCGTGGATGTCTTGGAGCCTCCATGAGCCCGACATTTGTTCCGGCGCATAAATTATCGTTTATGACAACAACTCAAGGCCAGCTCAATTTGTCCTACTAGCTCTATGGGGCCAGAGTGGATTATCTTGGAATCAATCCTGTGGGCGGCTCCTGTTCGATCATAATCTTGGGCCTTTCCTCGACTCGATTGGCGCCGAGTAACTAATTAATGCGAATGCAGCATCTCCAGCAGAGCATCTTATCGCTTCGGCTATTGTCTCTATGTGTAATAAGAGGCCATTGGGCAACTAGCACAGGGCAGCGCGAGTGGGAGGCCAAGTTTCTTGGTTTGTTGCGATGAGGTGAGACGAAAGCGTGGCAAAGTGGGCATACAAATATACAAGATGAACACTGCCTCTCCGCCTTGGTCTAGGGCAGACTAATGCGACGCGCCGACCGCTAGTTTATTTACGCTATATGTATGTATAATATATATCCATCTCTAATCGGATCCTAGATGGAGATGAAACACCCGAGGGTTTCAGGAGAGCGAGTCAATCAAACCGGTCCCACTTCGACTCTCATCCGGGCTTGCTTGGCCTGCTTTCTCTGGGGCGTGGAGGCCGCTTGTGAGAAACAGATCAGGTCGATCAAAGGAGAACGCCAAATCAATAACGTGAGACGCATTCATACCAGCAACCCCCATGGCAAAGAGAGTGAGTACATGCAGTGGCAGCCAATTGCAAAATACGTTCAGGCACATCATGGCAGTCTCATCTCGTCATCTAATGGGCGCCAAGGCGCCGAGGATAGAGTTCCGCGGGGGCCCAGGGCATAGGGAGAGACATAGAGCGCCCGGCTCCTCTGCTCCCTCTCCTAGGCAGTCAATGGGTATTCGACATGTAGACCAAGCTTACATGCTGGTATTATTGGCCCCCGCTGTGTTGCCACGATGCTTCCCAAATCGCCGCCTCCCAAGCCTTCAAGTCGGCGATAGATACTCTAAAGCCAAGTTGACTCCACTTCCGTTCGCCTCTCGCACCATGGTCTAGTTAGGCTCTTAGAGTTCAGCCTGGTTAATATGTCGCTACTAGGAAGCTTCCTCACGGCGAAAGCGAGTCAAGCACGGCCGGAGCCTACCTAAGTTGGTCGAGCGTTGGGGGCCCAGGCATCGTGTGGGCAAGTTTGGTGCCAGCGCATGGCAGCAAATAAGGCACTCATCATGCGGAAACGCCTCGGTGGCCAGCTGAAATCTTGCCCGCCATGCACTGCCAGATACACATAACAGAAATTTGAGAGTGGTTGGCCTGCAGCGTCTGACTCGACTCTAACTAGGAAGTAACTAGGGGCCTCCGTTTATCGATGCTTCTAAAGCCGTTTTCCTCTAAACCCGGGACAATATAGTCCGTTTATATCTTCTTAACGGTCGATGGTTCCTCTCTTCGTATGCGATCTATAATAACGGTCGGAATACTAGAGTCGTTAGTATACTGCTAGCTATCTATCTCTACTTAGTTAATTATAATATCCTTATAGAGCGGGTTATTCCTTTATAGCTATACTAAGGCAGCTACTATTTAAGATTTATTTACTTATAGTAGGAATTAATCTTATAAAGAGAGATATAAGAAGTATATATAAAATATATAAAGGTAAAATAGGAAGTAAGGGGTTAAATAAGTAAGGTAAAGTTATTTAATTCTTATAAGGGCAATAATTAATACTAAGGGAATAATTATTATATTATTTTAATTATCCTTCTTTCCTTTATTTAATACCTTTATTTATATCCCTTTAATATCCTAATTAATAAAGAAGATCCTACTTAAAGAAGCTATTAATATTTACTAAACTACTAAGCTTTTTATTAGTTTTCCCTAGCTTTTTAGCTATTACTAGCCCCTCTATCCTATCTCTTACTATATTTATAAGAAGCTATTACTATAAAGTAAGTAGAGGTATATATATAAGTACTATTTATAGGATAATATTAGTAAGCTATATAGAGCTCTTTTATATATAGCTAGCCCGCCTATATATATATAAGATCCGGCCCTCTATACGTAACTATATAGCTTAGGCTATAGCCTAAGCTTATAACCTATAATAATTAAAGACTCTTATATAATGCCCTCCCTTAAGCGCGGCGCGGCGCTGCCTTATTAGCGGATTCTATATAATTAGGCTTATACTACTAGCTCTACCCTACCCTTTCCCGTTAATCGTGCTAGCCCTGCTAGCTCTATTATCCCTATACTTATTAGCTTAGGTAGCTAGAACCTAGCTCTATATTTATTAGCTAGCTAGCTATTTAAATAAGGGCGTAACCTATTATATACGCCCTTAGGTAGCCGGCGGCCGCTTAGACCTACGTAAGCCTTAGTATTACGGGACACCCTACGGTCGATAATCTAGGTACCTATAACGATATCGGCCTCCCTTCCTAAGGCTCCCCGCGGAAGAAGGAACCCGGAAGCTACTAGGCAAACTCCGGGAAATTACCCGGAAATCCTAGAAACGATAACCGAGCGGATTATACGGATATTTTACGGAGATTTCCCCTAAGGATATTTTACACGGAAAATACACTACGATTTCCTAATTAATAATAGTTCCTTAGGGATTATACCGATATTTCCCTAAGAAGTTACTATAAGGATATAGCAGGGAAATTATAGAGAAATACTTATACCTACCTAGGGAAAATACTAGGAAATACCGCTAATACGCCGTACTATTATTATATAATTATAAGGTTAAGATATTACTTAATTAAAGCCCTAAGTAAGGTCCTACGCTTACTATAGTATATATAGAAGATAGAGAACCTACTAGATCTTAGGCGGGTAGAGATAAATATAGATAGTTATTACTACTCTTACTTTAACTTATAAGACTAATAGCTAGTCTATATTTAATACGCGTAATAACGTATAGTAGCTAGTCTATATAATACGTTTAATTATATATAGTAGCTAGTCCGTTTAATTACCCGTTAGACCTATACCGGATCTAAGTAAACGGTAAGGTTAACGTACTAGCCCTATACTAAGGGACTAGTATATAATAAATAGTAGTAATTCTAATTTCCTTAACTATCTATTCTCCTAAAGTCTATATCTAGTAGAACGTAAGATAAAGAATAAGGAAAAGGATAAGTTAACCTCGACCTATAAACCTTAATATCTTCTTAGGAAGAAAGCTCTTACTCGCGTATTAACGAATACTAGCTTCCTAATCTCTTTTTATAGAAGAAATACTTAGGGAACTTTAGATAAAAGTAGAACTTTAACGTATTAAAGCTTAAGTATTATAGAGCTTCTATTAGCGGTTAGAAAGATACCTATTTTTAAGATATTTCCTATTAAGTGCTTATAGAAACGGAAGATAGCTAGATCGCCTACCTTAGCGGTAGGAATAACGCTTAGAGGAATTAAGAGCGGAACTTCTATAATACGACTTACTAGCTTACCTAGCTAATCGTTAAAGCCTATAAGAACGAATTAATAACCTAGAATACGTTCTAGTAATAAAGTAATATTAGCTATAAGTAATAGAGCTATATAGAAATCGGTATAGTATAGCTTCTCCCGCCCCGCCCTAACTACCTCTATTAAAAGGATAAAGCCTTAGAAGTTCGCTAAGAAGTTTACTAAACTATAATAAATAAAGTAAGGAAGAACCTTTAAATAATACTACCCTTAATAGCACGTTCGCGATAATAACCCTAGCGAACTAGCTAGTAAGTCTAATTATAAAAGAAGCTCTTATAAAACTACTAGTAGAAGCTATAGTAAGAGATACTAAGGATAATACTGCTATAAACCCTCCTCGAGCACCCTTAATACGT